AAATCATTATATACACAAATCTAATGCTTTTTAAAACTTATGGATCTTGGGGACTCCTTTTTTCCGTTACTTGCCAAATGTGGAAAACTGGCGATTGTTTTTTCCAGCTTAATCAGCAAGATACACTCGAAAAATGGCGATTGAATATTTCCAGTTTAACAGGCAAGATACACTCTGGAAAAATGGCGATTGCACTTTTCCAGTTTAACAGGCAAGATACACTCGCGGCTTCTATTTCCACATCTGCCTAGATTTGAACCTGCGACCACTAGGTTAAAAGCCCAAGTATTTGAGCGAGACCCATTGGACTCCAATACCGCGATAACTCACCTTATCGATCCTTTTCAAGATTCGCTCTAGCGCTCACAAATTTTGAAAATGGCGAGTGTATCTTTCCAGTTTTAGCGGAAGGGTACACGCACGGCCTTTTCTTCATAGTTGAACCGCTGTGAACTAATTAGCAGAGCGGAAAGATACACTTTTTTTTACTACCGTCTTCCCCCGAAAACACAACATACCCTGATAAGGAAAGCGTATACGCATCACTGCGCGCCGCTATCTTTCCGGTCCGGTGTAGCCAAAATGAGCGTGCCTTCCGTTCGAGGGAAAACGGCGATGCGCATCACTGCGCGCCGCTGCGATGTCATCGATCCCGATTTTTTCTATTTTTTTAAATAACTAGGCTACATTCTTCTCTGAATTCCACCATACACTACCTACCCATCACTACTACTACTTGATAGTATTACTAAGAACCCCATAGCAATCAGCCCAAGTTCACACTGCCTCAAACGAGGGAACACGCGGGCGCTGCGCCTGACCTGCAGGTCGGCTGTAGCGGTCAGGGGACAGCCGGTGCCATTAGGGACCATGCCAAGGGACCAAAACCTGTGCCTCCCCTCAGGTGGTGTTCCCCACCCCTACGAACATCAGCAGTCTCTGCTCACTGCCGATCGGGGAATCCAGTGGACTATCTCCAGGTGGCGGGCGCCAAGCACCCAGGAAGGTACATCAGGCCACTGGGGATTGAACCCAAGACCTCCTGAATGCCACTTGCGAGCCTTGCCAACTGAGCTGGGCGCTGGATAACTTTTTCAACAATCGCTGATGCCGTATTTTGAAAGTGCGGGGTTTGCTGCTGTGTACCCTTCACCGGCGAGATAATGCCAGGAAGGATTAGAGGACATTTTTCGGAAACTAATCTTTTCTGGGGAGGGCATTTGAGCAAAAATGGAGGCATTACCATGCCATAAGCAGAAATGGAGGCATTACCATGCCATAAGCAAAATAGACACTTTTGAGCACCGGAGCGAAATCAGGTCAATTCAGTTTTCAACGATAAGTTCCCGGCATGCCTACCAGTTTTTTTTGGGGGGGGCGGGGGGG